GGGGGGGGGGGGGGGGGGGGGGGGGGGGGGGGGGGGGGGGGGGGGGGGGGGGGGGGGGGGGGGGGGGGGGGGGGGGGGGGGGGGGGGGGGGGGGGGCGCTGCTGCGCTCCTAGAGCTGCACTCTCCCGAATGCGCCATGGGCTCGGCCCTATCTGAATCTATTTTAATGAATAAGTAGTAATTTTTATTTAAAAAATAAATAAGTATTTAAATATAACTTTTATTGGGTTTTTCTTTCAACCAATCTATTTTTGAGTCTGTAAAGAAGAGTTTCCTTGTACCAGCAGATTCTCTACCAGAGTAAGCATCCACTCATTTTACTGATGGATAAATTAAGTCTAAAGTAAATGTTTGATATTAGTAACCCACGTAAAGCATTTTTAAAAGAAACAGAATAACAAAAGGCAGTGAAGTTAAACAAAGATGAAAACCCACCTGTACTATATCCAAAACCATGCCAGCTGAAACTGTTCCAAAACCAGCTAGCAAAAATGGCACAAGTATTTGCAATGCCATGATGCCACTGGATTCTTTTGGTAGTTTTTGGTTTGTTTCCACAATAGCATCTTCATCACCATCACTAGATATATCTTCATCTTGTAACATGGCAGTAGTTTCTGAAGTCTCCTTTACATCACAGTAATTATAATTGGCATAGTCATCGTACTTTTGGCTACAGCTTGGTGTGTGCCCATTATTGCCATGAAAAGACTGCTCTGAGAAACTGTGATACTCCATGTGTTGCTCAGATCTATTACTGAAAGTCTGTGCTGCAGTTGATAATCCATCCTGCCAAATACCATTTGCTTTCTTGTGCCTGTCTTCCTGGTTTTTCTGGTAAATTACTGGAACCATACTCAACAGAAAATTTAAAAACTTATCAGATTGAATTGTATTTAAATTTAAAGTCCAATCTACAAAATCTCCTCCAATACTTGGGCCACCGCTTGTTTTATTAGTAATAGATCTTCCTTTACTATTAGTCATATTGTCATCGCAAAAGACCCTGTACTGCTCAGATCTCAAGGTTTGTGAACCATAGCAGATGAATCAGAACCACACGAACACTAGTTTAAATTAAGCTGCTGACTTCATTGTGTAGAAAATGTTTCCACTAATAAAAGATGTTTAGAAGTTCCACAGAGGGATTGAATCTGGAAAGAAAAAATAATAAATTTTAAAAATCAGATTAACTATCTTTTTTTTTTTTTCCTTTTTGTCTTTTTTCGTGACTGGCAACAGATCGCAACCCTCAGTGTCGCACCCGTACCGGACCGGGACCGGCAACGGGATCGCAACCCTCGGTGTTGCGCCCGCACCTCGCTCAGCCAGTGAGCGGCTGGTCTGTATGTGGGATCCGAACCCTCGGCGGGAGCGCCACCGCGCTCCCAAGTGGAGCACTGTAGCAGTGCGCCACCGGGCCGGCCCCCAGATTAACTATGTTGATACTTAGATTTTCATAGTTAAGGGTATAAAATACATGTGTTCTTACACCAACCCTAAGGCAGGCTTAAAACATAACTGTTTTGTGCTGTACAATTGCTTTGTGTTACAGAAATATAATACAGAGCTATTTTTTTTATACTCAATCTTTGTTAAAAGTGTTTTATCTTTGCAAACTTTATGTAAATAATACCCAAGTAAAGTCTTCAACTGCCTCTGAAATTCTACAGTGAACAAATTTATTAAAGTGATGGTTTCCATTACTATAGAGGACTCAAAACCAAATTGCTATAACCCTTCACATGTATCAGTACACAGCAAAAGGTAAGATATATGGCATTATACTTTAAACATTAAATAATAAACTATATTACTTTATTTACAGCTTAATATAATATACATTTTGTTATTAAAATATGAAGAGACAATGATGTTTACTGCAAAAACACTTAGTAGTTATCCTGAATACTGTACAGGACATTTATTTCACATATAAAATTAGATCGGAGTCATATTTGTAGTTCTGACATATAAAAAATTCATTATGTAATTCCAAGACCCCCAGTGGATGCCTGAAACCACAGATAACACTGAACCTTATATATGCTATGTTTTATCCTTTCTCATAACCAAGACTAAGTGACTAATGGGCAGGTAGCATATACATCATGGATAGGCCGGACAAAGGAATGATTCATGTCCCAGGAGGGATAGAGTGAGACAGTACTAGATTTCATCATGCTACCCAGAACCATGCAATTTAAAACTTGTAAATTGTTTATATCTGGAATTTTCTACGTAATATATTTTGACTTCAGTTGACTACAGGTAACTGAAACTGTGGAAAGCAAAACTGTGGATAAGGGGTACTACAGTAATTGATTTAAGAATATAATCCTTCTGTTGTTTAGGAAATAAACAAACTGAAAAGAGATTACAAATATTCACTTAATCCTCCATTTTGCAAGCCAACCAAAAGAAAGCATGTAATGCACTTATCATTTAATGCCCTGCTCTGTCCATTCATGCTTCTCAAGGCCTACTCTGGCTCATAATTCCAGAGTAGGTCCCTGACTGACTGGCCGGTGACGAAATTCTCTCTAAAGACTTTGAACTAAGAGACCCAGACACACACTGTAGTCAGAGGGAGATGGGCACTGAAGCTGCAAGGTCATACACCACCTGTCTAGGTAGAGATCCTAACTATTTGGATAACTGCTGCCATAGCTGAGGAGGCTTTCAAAACTGTCTATCAATATGGGTCTTAAGGCCTCAGGTGTTTCTCAGGAACACTCAGGCCTGTCTCATATGTCCAAGAGCATCCAAGAACAAGAAAATGGCACTGATTTGATAAGGAACAGATTGCCCCACCACCTAATTAAACCACCTACCTACCAAGCTAGACTAAGAATTGTTGCTGCAAGTATTGCTGCTTTTAATGAAAAGTATCAGTATTTGTTTTCAATGCCTTAATATATTCATCTCCTCTCCTTGGATAGGAAGATCAATAACAAGGAGTGGCAAAGGGAGAAAGAGAAGGGGCTATGCAGGAGACAAGTGGATGTAGGGCCTGGCTGATCTATTTTATCATTCACTCATTTTCCTTTCCCTCTAGTGATTATGAGGGGTCTAGGAATTCCTGCTGGAGAACATTCTTAAAATATAGATTCCAGGACCACAGACCTACTGACAGAGTATCTATGTTTGAGGTCCATAAATTTTTTTTATTTAACTTCCCCAAGTGATTATGGTGTAAACTTCCTGTGTACTTGCACTGAGAATCCAATGAGTAGATTAAGTGCTAGTTGCCATTTCTGTCACTTGCAAGCTGATCAACATACTGAGAAAGTTGGTGTTTGAAAAGAGAAAAAACTGTGGTTACTAGAAGTGGGAAAACGGAGTGGGGAGTAGGGATAGTGAGAGGCTGGTTAATGAATACAAAATTAAAGCTAGATGGGAAAAATAAGTCCTATTGGTGTACAGTTTATCCAGGGATCTATAATCAACAATGATTCACTGCACACTACTGAATGACTAGAAGAGAGGAGATCAAATATGCACATCACAAAGAAATGATTAAGTTTTACAATGATGAATATGTTAATTACACTGAACAGATCATCACACATTGTATACATGTATTGAAACATAACTCTGTTCATCATAAATGTACAATCAATGTTTCAATAAAAATTAAACACACATGCACACACACACAAACAAAAAGAAAATCAGATGAATGGAAACAATGGCCAGAGTGAAGTAGAAATGAAATCAAGTAGCCCTAGAAAGAGAGACAAGGGCAGAATAGCTGCCTGAGAGCCTTCCACATAATGAAAACCTCAACTATGTCTGGAACTTGTGAGCTTCCCTGCAGTCTTACATGAGTTAGATTGAGTGGGTTTTTGTTCCTTCAACTCATTCACCATTTTTTTAAAAAGTGAGCATTTCACTGCCTCAAAGAGATATTTAACCAAGTAAAAAACAAACCCCAAAAGGACTAAGCTATAAGACAGGTCGATGTTACACTGAAGGACCAGTGATGAACCACCTCTTTCTCCTAAAGCAGAATGATTAGGTTGATCAAAATGGAAATGTTGGTAACCAAAAAGGAGGATGATAGTTTGTCTATTACCATTCAGCTACCCTAAAGTTCAGAAAGGTCAAAATATGTGCTTAGGAAACTTGACCAACTAGCAATACTAAGTAGAAAAATGCATAAGAGGGAAGCAAAAAAGGGGGATTTCCCAAGACAAGTGATCTCTCTCAGAATATCTGCAGGACATGGTTAAGCACATAGTCCACACTGATTTGGCCAGTGGGATCCACACTGATTTGGCACAAACACATCTAGCTCATAGTTTTGCTCCTAGTATTTTTACTTCAGTATAAGGTATTCAGAGGGTTACATGGGGAGATGGATACTCAACCAGGGTCACTGTACACAGAGACCATACAAGTTTATGCACACTTAAAAAGAGAGTGCCTCCTAGAAAAAAGAAGCCTCGTGAGTGGAGCCTTGGGCTGAATTTCAGCCCTCGCTCAGTCCCCTCAGCCAAGCACCCTCAGGCAGTGCAGAACCTGCATAATCTTACACATCAGACTGGGCAGTTGGATGAAATATTAAAGCATACATAAAGATCATAAATCACATACGATGGACAGATATTTCTTGTTATTGTTTGCTCAGCATCTTTCCCTAATTTTTTAGCTAATGTTACCTCCATTTCTTGTGGGGAACTGTAATTTCCTTATTCCGTGAGATTCTGGTAGGTCTGTCAATCATAGTACCCTACCCTCCAGACCACAGTAAAAACAAGTGGCTCAAGAAGAACCTAAGTCCTTCCCTGGAATTTCACACATTTGTTGCTTACTAAAGGGTACTTCAAAAAGTTTAGGGAAGATTCATATTATCTTTTAATCATATTTTTATACAAACTTTCTGAAGTACCCTTCTATTTCCTGAGTGCCTGCTAGACGCTGGGGCTACAGTGATGAACAAAACGGACACAGTTCCTGCTTTGATAGATTTTACCTTGTAGTGGAAAAGAAAAACAATAATCAGGTGAGCAAATAAATGAGATAATTTGTGATAAAAGGCTATGAATGAAACAGTTGATTAAACAAAGAATGAATGACTACTTTAGAGGGGAAGGCCTCTGGGGGAAAGAGTTCTCACTCCCCTTTAGAATGTAATTCTGAAGCTGTCTGTCACTATATCTCCCTCTTCACAAAGATCCCCCTATCACCACCATTACTATCACTTAGAGGAAAACCCATCTACACTAGAAAAGGATCTACAGAGAAAATCAGAGCTAGAAAAGGATGAGAGGGTCCTGACAACATAATTAGAACATTTATATCACTTATTTAAAGCCAACTCCACCCCCCTTCTCCCCAATTACATGAGCCAATAAATCTCCTTCATTGCTTAAGCTACTCTCAGTGGTGTTTCTGTCCTAACAGCTGTTTTGTTTTAATAATGTAGTTTGGAAGTACTATGAATTACTGTGCTACAAGTGTATGCTATGGATCACATATCACCATCTTGCATTGTGGAAAATGTGTTTATTTTTGTTTTATCCTTCATTTTACCCAGTTCATGAGTGATCATCAGTTATTCTAATGTTTACTTATTAACGAGGTTTATTACCTCCTAAAAGACTCCTTAAACTTTCCTTTTATTTTGCTAAAACTTTTATTTTCCTCAAACTTTTAAAAAAAATTTTAGTTAAACTAAAATAATCACTTAGAAACTTTTAATTGAATAATGGATTACGGTAAAAATACTTGCGGTCTATTTAAAATAGGTAATGTACCAGGGTACTTCAAAAAGTGTGTGGAAAAATTGAATTAAAAGATAATACAAATCCTTTTGTGAACTTTTTGAAGACTTCTCGCACATATATACCACTAAACAAAAATCAGTTGTTCTATATTTTATTCATGAATGAAAAAAAACAAGCAAAAAATTTAAAAATATATAAATAAAATTGGGCATAATTTCCCCTGGCTTTAAGGTGTTTAAAGAATGCCAGTGGAGATATTTATGGGTCACTCTTTAGCTGCTTAGTAGGTTATACTTATCTAATACTAACATAGCTGAGAACTAGTGCCTTTAAAATT